CTGCCACCAGTCAGAACGGACCCGACGGCAGCAACTTCGGTTTGGCTTGGTGTCTGATCTGACAACTCTATCAAAGCGACATAGTAACTGCATTTCAGTAAACGGAGTCGCGGCCCATGTGTGTGCATTGTGGGATGGGTGGGACACGACCTAGAGGAATCCTATTTAAAAAAAAACAAAAAACCTCACTGTCATCCAGTCAATTCCAACTCATAGGGACCCCACTGGGTTTCCAAGAAGGTAAATCTTTATGGAAGTAGATTATCCCATGTTCCCTCCACGGAGTGGCTGGTGGGTTTGAACTGCCAACCTTTGGTTAGCAGCCTCAGGCACTGCACCACCAGAGCTCCTTAAAGGAATCCTAAAGGTTTGTGAGTAAGTGGAGAATCATGCCCATTCTTGGTGTGGACAGCATCTGCCACAGGCTCTTGGAAAAGCCAAGCAAGGGGCAGAGGGCCCAGTGTGGCATTCCGACCCTCCAGTAAGGACAACCCCCTAATGTTTCACCACCTCGAACAAGCCTTTACTCAGACCAAGCAGGATCTCCCTTCCCACCCCCGCCCCAAATGCATCTCCGCTGCCAGGCCTGTCTAGGCTGTCCCCTCCTCTCCTGGCTCCTTTCTGTCCTCTGCCAGGATGACTGCGCCTAACGCTTTTCTGTGCTCAGCAGATGATGCCCTCCCTGGGCCCTCCTGAGGCGGCCCCGCCCTGCCCCTCCCCGAGGTCTCTGGGATGGTCCTGCCCACAGTGCTGGAGCCGGATGAGGTGGAGGATGTCAGGAGGTTGGGACTGCTCTCCAGCAGCCAATAAAGCTCGGAATGGTGGCTTCTTCCCAAGTCACATGCCTTAAGTCACTAGACGGAACTGTCACTATTTTTCACCTTCAAATTTTCAGAACCCTGGTCATCGGCTAAGGAGCTCTGGTGGCCCAGTGCCCGAGGCATTTGACCGCTAACCAGAAGGTTGGTGGTTCAGATCCACCAGCCACTCCACAGAAGGAAGACTGGGCAATCTACTTCCATAAAGATTTACTGCCTTGGAAACTTAAAGGAGTTCGCTATGAATTGGAATTGACTCGATTGCCAGTGTTTGGTTTGCTTTTGGTTTGGTCATCTGCTGGCTGAATGACCAAGGACAAGCCGACTAGAGGACAAGCGGTGACCTCAGATGGGGGCCTTCTTCCCACTGAACCCCCCAGGGTGGCCTCTGACAGGCCCAGGGTCTATGGCAGGGCTCTACATAATGTACTCCCATAACGGGATTCAAACCCCACCCGACTGGGACCCTGTGCTCTGGCTCACTATGGAGGGGACAGGTGGGAAGGAAAGGCTGGGCAGAGGTGACACTGTGCCAGCCCCACCAAAGCAGGACTCACCCGGCGACGCGAGGGCAGGGTGGCGCACTTGGGGCAGACAGCAGGCTTGTCCAGGGCTCGCTGGTCTGGACTTGGTCGCAGCTTGAGGCCTACGAAGGTTCTGCGGGCTGTCTTACCACGTTGGTGGGTCCTGGCCTTGTCTTTGTGTCCTCGTGAGCCCTGTGAGGGAGTCAGGGGTCTTGGTTGCAAACAGCAAATGCTGGCGAATCTGAGCCCATGTTAGTTGTGTGGAGACCATTCCGACTCCTGGCGACCCCACACGTTACAGAGTTGAACTGCCACAACGTTTTCTTGACTACTCTTAACAGAAGCGGACCACCCAGGCCTTTTCTTCCACAGCACCCCCTGGATGGGTTCAAACCAACCTCTCTAGATTAGCAGTCGAGAGCAAACTGCACACCACCCAGGAATCTTAATTTGTGCAGAAAAGGAGTTTATTAGAAGAAACGGGGAGTCACAGAATGGGTAGAACGAGACTCAGAGGGCAGGAACTCCAAGTCGCGGGTGGCCGGAACCCTGTCAGGGCTCTGCATTCCACCACCTCCACAGTGGACGATGGAGGCCGGGTCAGGACTGCCCCTGGAGATGCAGCGCTGCCCCCTCGCCGAATCCCATCATCCCTTCCTCCAGTGGAGAGAAACTGATTGGCTGAGCTGTGGTCAGACGCCCACATCCTGGCTTCCGGGAAGCGGGAGAACTGATGTCTGGCCTCTTTGCTTCACAGAGAAGTGGGACCCGCAGATGCCCACTTGTAGGAGGTTGCCAAGCTGCACAGCTCAACACCGACGACTGTTAAAAGGCCACCACGTGGACCACGGGAAGTCCTCAGAGGAATACAGGACAGTTTGATTCTGAAGATAAACTCCTTCTGGCCTCAGTGAGGACAATTTGGAGACGAGAGAGGTTGGTGGGAAGGAGACTCACTTGATCAGTGCAATTGCCCTGGGGACAGGGAGGTAGAGGATGTCAAGGGGGCAGCACCCACAGGCCTTGGGGCTGACGGATGGGGGAGGCAAGGGAAAGGATGGAAATGCCCATGACCTAGCTTGACGGCTTGTGACCAGGGCAGCTGTGACACTAATGGCCGAGGGAGCACGGGAGGAGGTGAGCTGTTGGATGAGTCAAGGGATCTGGACGGCAGTTCTAGATTCTGGTTTGACGCACAGGAGACAAGATGGACACATCTGCGTAAGGTGGCCCAGAGAGCTCAATATCGTCCGAGGAGAACAAGCAGGTTGGAGGCGGGTCCAGAACTGAACACAGGAGTCCTGATGTTTAAAGGGAAGCCAAGGAAGAGAGGCCACCAAGGAGACAGCACTGCCACACCCCAAAGCAGAATGCCCTCGCCGGGTGGCCCCAGCCCAGACTACACAGGCCGTGTGTCCATGCCCAGGTTATGCATCCAAAGCATTGAGCATCAGGGCGTCACCGGCCACCTCTGCCCAAGCAGTAGGAGGGACAAGAGTGCCCGCAATGAACAGGAAGGTATTGCAGACTATGGCTTCAGGACGTTCTTCCAAGGAGAGGAAGACGAATCTAGAAGGGAGCTATGGGAGTGGATGAAACACACTGCCAAGGTGGTCTTTTTGACCGTTTCTGACAATAAACAAGCCTGTTCAGAACTCGTAGGAAAAGGAGCAAGGTCTCAGGATGAGATCATTGGATCAAAAGGTTGACCTTGAAGAGGGGACCCCTCTCTGGGTAGAGGAAGGTAATAGTGGGCAGGTTTGGGAAGCTGCCGATGAATTGAAGAATCGATGGACCTGACCGTCCTAAGGACTAGGAATCAAGGCTGAGGGTGAAATGGAGGGAGGCTGGCATGGGCACCTGTGTGGACTTGCACACAAGTTCTTGGGTCTCCAGTTCAGACCAACTGTATTTCCCTGGACAGGGCCAGGGGGCTGCACCTTTGAAGTTCCTCAGGCCCCCTGCTGTGGAGCATGCAGGCTAGGCAGTTGTGGAAGGACTCTGGTGCCTTCAAAAGGAACACGAAGGGGAGCAGCAGATAAAGGCTGGGCTTGAGAAGGCATTTGGTCCCTGGCATCTCCCGGGGGCCCTGCGAGGCCTGCGCAAGCGAGGGATGGGCAGGCAGCCTCTCCAGGCCACCTTGACTTGGAGGCAGAGATCAGTGACCACACAGAAGAACAGACACGGAGGGGTGGGGAGTGACCCACCACAGGGCTGCTGGAGGCCAGGTCGACAGCCACCATACACAGGGACAATCCTGGTGACAGCCCAAAAGCAGAGCTGGTTTCCTGGGCCTCGCCACTGCCTCTGCCCATGGGAGAAAAACAACATGTACCAACTGGCAAAAATTTTTTAATCAGTTTTTTTTTTATTTAAAAAAGAAAAAAAATCCCAACTTTTCCTTAAGTCCCACATTTAGCTCCTTGGGGACAGAGAAGCCTGCAGTGGGGATCCACTCCACACCACCTGTCCATCCAGCCCCGTGAACACACGTCCTAGGAGCTTTGCCCACCAGTGAGGACAGGCGGTTTCCGGTGGAGTTCGGCTCAAAGGGCTTCTGCAGGGGCCTGTGTGCAGGGTCTGATGAAGCATGTGGATAGATGTCCTGGGACTCGGAGGCCTTGCACAGGGTTTCCCAAGTGCCCTCCAGGCCCGCACCGTGGCATCAAGAAGCCCAGCCGAGCACTCATCTTCCCTGGTGTTGCCATCCACCAACCCTCCTCACACCTTGCTTCTAGTTGTGTGAACCTGTAAACGTCAGAAGTTCTAATGGTCTGGGTCATGGCAGGATGGTAGTGCAGCACGGAGCCTTGGAAACCACATCTTTTTCCAGTACTGGAAAAACATCTGAGAGGTTCATAAAGAAACTAAAAATTAAAATTTCTATCAAGTTCTGCTCCTTTCTAGTCATGTGAGAAAAACCCTAGAACTTTACCAGTGTAGTTATAAAAATTCATGCGACTGGGACCTTCCAACACTGTTTCTTCTAGCGCTGAATACACTCGATGCTCTTCATAAGGAATGGGTGACTGACGAGAAGGGGAGCCGTCCCTCCTACACAGCAGCAGAGTGGTAACCCACCCCCCGCAGCCCCAAGCAGCTAGGATCTACTGAGCGTCACAACAGCAGAAAACAACTACAGAACACAGCTCCTACTCACAAACGCTTACAAACTGAGATCCAACCAAGGCTTCCCTCCCTCCTTCAAAACGTACACTCCACAGGCCGAGAGCCAGGCTTCTTCCTCAAAGTTAAAGCTGTCCCCCAACCCCAAGTTCTCTCCTGAACAGCCTGCTTAATCTCAGAGGAGCTCCACGCGCCTAAAGCCTCTTGACGCAGCCAGGTTTGTAGCTGGCAACCGAGCCCCGAACAGAAGGCAACTCGAGAGGAAATATCAGCAGCTGGCCTGGTTCCACCGGGGCCAGCTCAGAGCAGCTGAACACATCCCGAGAGCAGAGGCGCTCTCACCCTCCGGCCCCAGCCGTTTAACATCCTCCAGCTGGACCCTCAGAGGCACAGAAGGGAGGCCAGTGGGCCACCTAGGCCCCCGGAGGTGGATCTCAAGTGTCTTTCCTGGGCTACCAGGGCGGCGGGGAGGAGGAATCTATGTATACAAAGGAGGAGGGCAGAGTCTGGCCAGGTGCACCCTCATTTCATCTCATTCAACCAGGAGATCAAACTGCTCAGCAGCTTCAAACTCAGCATTCATGGCCGCGGCCCACTCATCCAGCTCTGATTTCTAGGGAAGAGAAATGGGAGGCAGGTGAGTGGGGGAGGGGGCACAAGGACCAGAGCGTCTCCACCAGGCCCTGCAGGTGCCCCCGAGCTGAGCCCGGCCCACAGGTTCCCGGCGCGTCTCCCCCAGCGGTGAGCTGCCGCGCCACGTGATGGCAAAAGGGAGGCCCTGCCCCGCACTCACCAGGATCTCTGGCACTTTCTTCTTCTTCCGTTTCTCTTTCATGGTTGGGGGAGAGATTCCAGGGAGAGTTGTGTCCGGGGCCCAGGGCTTCACGTGGACGCCAGTGACCTCGAATGACTTCGCGCCCACCACAGGCGAGACTCCAGCCAAATCTTCACCCAGTAGCCCCTCAAAGCCAAAGCAGGAGCGGCGGCCCGGGGTGGAGGTGGAGCTGAGGGGCTCCAGTCGGCTGTACGATCGTCTGACTTTCTTGGCCATTTCCAAGTCTCTGGCATCCAGGTGTCCCCTCCTGGGGCTGCACTGGCTACTCGGGGCTAACAGCATGGGAGTGGTAGCCGGGGTGACAGGCACATTGCACGTCTTGAAGAGGTCTGCCTTAGTAGGTTCCTTGGTAGGAGGATGGTTCTCTTTCTCTAGGAAAAAAGCTATCTGCACCAAGACAGAAGAGAGAAGTGTCCCTGTTACTCAGCTGCACCGCCTCCCTCCAGGGAGGCCCGAGGAGACCTCAGCAGAAGCAACCTCTGGTAACCAATCAGACCCTGAGCCAAATGTGGGGAAGGCAGAACAGACAATTCATCCCTGCTTCTGAGAGTCCCCTTCTGGGACCCAAGAAGACTGCTACCATCGCTGGTGCTATCAGCTGCTTCCAGACTGTGACAGGAACCCAAGCCACTGTTGTCACCTAGTCTCGCTCAATCACTCCTAGCTGTTCTTCCTGCCACCCTCACTGCCTTCTCAGGTCCACCTGCCAAAGCTGACAGAAAGCTTTTCTTAAAAAGTCCATCCAGCCAAGAAGTACTTATTGATCACCTGCTATGGGCCAGGCCCTGTCAGGTGCCAAGGGAACAGCCAGGAATGAAACAAAGTACAACCCTCCCCCCCATGGAGTGTCCACACTGGTGGCAAGTGGGGGAGCAAGGAAGGAGACCCACGTAGCATGTTAGGGGGCATTAGGTGCCATGGAGAGGACAGAACGAGATGGAGGGGAGAGCGCGCTCGTGGTGGGCTGGAAAGTTAAGCAGGGGTCACTGAGAAGGGAAACTTGAGTTACTGCTTGCCTTCAAGGTGAGGGAGTGAACCATGTGGGCGCCTGGAGAAAATGTAGTCCCAGCAGAGGGAACAGAAAGTGCAAAGCCCTGAGGCAACGGTCAGTCAAGGTGGAGGAGTGATGAGGCCAGTGTGGTTGCAATGAGAACCAGAGGAGAGGAACTGAAGGTGAGGTTCGAGAGGTGGTTGAGAAGGGGCCTCAGGAGGTTTGTGGGACCCTGAGACACAGGAGGCCATAGCAAGGTGGGGAACAGGAGTGGCCTGAGCTGACGTGTGTACAGAGGTTTACCTGCTGGGTCCCCATGATCCCATTCGCAGCTCAAATGTCACTTCCGCAAGGAGGCTCTCCCCACCAGACCCCTTCTGCACCACTTCTAGTCACTCCCTGGCACAACGGCCTCTTTTATTACCTGTATACCAACCACCACTGTCTGGTTAACTCTGTCACCCTGTGTGGAATGTGAATTTGGCACAGTGAGGGCTTCCTCTGACTGGCTGACACTGCCTGCCCCACAGACAGCAGAGCCCTGTCTGTAGCAAGTGCTCAATTAGCACCGACCGAATTAACGATACACATAAACCTAGGTGGTGGCCAAGGGGGAATGGGCAGGAAAAACCCCATGACTCCTGGGAAGCATACTGATTATCAAGAGACTTTTGTGGGTCACGAGCTCTAGGGGGACACTGCCCCATGGGTCCTGGGAAGTGGAACAAAACGGGAGTTCTTCCTGACTCCGTCTTCCCTGATAGTCAAGCAACCACCCACATCCTGGAAGCTTTATCTGCTCAGTGTTTCATGACTGTCAGTCAATCCACAAGAATAACTGGCTACCCAACAGACTCCAACAACATATCAAGAAAATCATTCATTATGACCAAGTGGGGTTCATACCAGGTATGCAGGGATGGTTCAGCATTAGATAAACAATCAATGTCCTCCACCACATAAATAAAACAAAGGAGAAGAACCACATGATCATATCAATCGATGCATAAAATCCAACACCCATTCCTGATCAAAATTCTCAGCTAAATAGGAATAGAAGGGACATTCCTCAACATGATAAAGGGCATCTATGAAAAACCAACAGCCAACATTATTCTCAATGGAGAGAGACTGAAACCATTCCTCCTGCGAACAGGAACCAGACAAGGATGCCCTCTGTCAACACTTCTATTCAACTTTGTGCTGGAAGTCCTAGCCAGGGCCATAAGGCAAGAAAGGGAAATCAAAGGCATCCAAATTGGTAAGGAAGAAGTCAAACTATCCCTATTTGCTG